TCCAGGGCTTCTTCCGCCCCCAGTTCTACCGCGGCAAGGAGAACGGCTTCTTCGTGGCCCACTCGACCGATTACGACCTCGTCGACGCCCGCATGCTCCTTGAGGGAGAGGAGGTCATCGCTGGCATCCGCGCGAACGCCCTCGCGGGGGTCACGGCGAAGGAGAAGTCCGAGCAGCTCTGCGCGCTCAGCTTGGAGCCCATCGTGAAGCTCATCACCGAGAAGGGGTTCGCCTTCCACATGAAGCCCAACATGATGTGCGTCATCCCGAACGGGTTCGCCGTGATCTACCTGAACTGCAGTACCACTGAGGTCTTGCATGGCCTCCGCTGGCAGATGCACGGGGGCAAGAAGAACGTCGAGGCCACTTTGTCGACGTTGGAGCCGATGGTGCAGAGCAGTCCCGAGCTCGCGACCACCGACGTCGGCAAGATGGTCAAGGCAAGGCCATCACTCCTCTCCCCCCGTCCCCCCTCCTAAGCTTGAGCCGCGAGGGGGGAGGTGGCAAGGGGTCTCGAAGGGCCCGAGGGGTCTTGAGGGCCCCGAGAGGGGCCCAAGGGGTCCTGAGCTTGAGCCACGAGGGGTCTTGAGGGCCTGCCACCCTCGTTCGGATGTCATTCCCTTGGGGCCACTCTGAGTCCTCCTCCCCCTCCTCGGAGCCTTCTCCTCCTCCTCCTCCTCCTCCCTTCTCCTTCCTCCTTCCTCCCTCCTCCTCCCTCTTCCTCCTCCTCCATCCTCCTCCTCCCCCTCCTCTTCCCCCCTCCCTCCTCCCTCCTCCCGTTTTCGCAGGGCCATGCGGCTGCGCCAGGGCGGCCTCCTGGAGGCGGGCCCGCGGCCTCCAGGGCCCTCTCGGAGCCACCTTGCGGCCAACGTGTGGCCCGACGGATTTTGCAGAACCTTGCAAAATCCGTCGGGCCCCCCTCCTGCGCCCACTGGCGCGCGGGAGGGCGGCTGGGCGGGGTCCGGCGGGGTGGAGAGGCCATCCTGCTCTCCCATTCCTCGCCTATCCTATCCCCTTTTTTTTTTTTTTTTTTCTTTTCCATCACAGGCTGACGATGTGCCTTTCGACCGATGCCGATACCGATACCGATCCTCCCTCCTCCCTCCTTCTCCCTCCTCCTCCTTCCTCCCCCCCTCTTCCTTCCCCCCCCTCCTCCCTGCCCCCTCCCCCCGCCCCGAGGCGCTGCGCGAGGCCTACGCCAGCGGGAAGTTCGACGCGTGGGACGCGGGCTCGGCGACGGCGTCGGGCGCCTGAGGCCTGGCGCCGCCTGGCGCCTGACGCCTCCGCGTGGCCGACCCGGGGGCGCTCAGAGAGTCCGACCGGGGGTCGGGCGCCAGGGGGGCAGGAGAGGGAACGGCGATCCCGCGGGCCAGGGCCGAAGTTGTAGTGTACGTCGGGGGCATTGGAGAAGGAAGCTCTTCCGACCCTGGAGGAGTCTTTACCTGATGAGGGCGTCGACGATACCCATGGCCGATCCACAATTTGACCTCGACAGGCTTTCAGACCCTGGATTCCTTATCCACTTGTTTCCTTATCCAAGGCCCCCGCCGTGCCCTGCAACTTCGGGGTGATACGTTGTCCAGGAGTGGTCTGGGGTCTGGGAATGGATGTCAGAGTTCTTTTATCTAGGGATTTTGTTTCGCTTATCGTCGCCGTTCTCCTGCCCCCCGTCTTGCGGGGCGGACTGCGACTGCGGGGCGACCAGTCGAGCAGGCCGACGACTGACAACCGACATGATGCAGTCGTCGTCGTCGTCGTCGTCGCCCTCCTCCCCCCTCCTCGCCCTCCCCCCCCCACCACCGCCCCGTGCGGCGATGGGGCCGGGGGGGGGCGGAGGGGGAGGAGGACAGGATGACCTCGCCCTTGTCCGAGTCTGGCCGCTCTAAGGGGGGCGGCTTCCCTCTTCGCCCTCCCCTCTCTCATCCTCAGTCCTGCTGCTTCGTGGCTCCACCGTGGGGCTCCACCTACTTCCCCTACCTCCTTATCTATGGCTTCCTTCTAACTTCTAACACCTCGGGTCCTTTTCAGGAGCGGCTTCGTCCATTGAGCGTTTATTCGCGCTTTCGGGAATGAATGCGATGCGCTTCGTTTTTGAGGTTTCACAGTGCACGCTACATCAGCTGCAATGCGTGCCAAAAACGGTTGCCCCTGCCCCGCGCCTCCATTGTTGTATCGACGCGTCACGCGCGCGCGTTTGCTCAGTGGTCTGGGATCTGTGCCCATTCATGTTAGCCCCGGGTGCTTCCAGCACATTGTGATTTATGATCGCGCCTGGCCTGGTCGATGTTTTGGGGTGGTGCGCTTTGGCGCAGTAACACTTTTCGCCGCTTCTGTAGCCGACGCCTTCTTTCCCATTGTCACCACCCATGGTTTTCGGCGGAGTCGTTGCCAACTTAAGTTTCCCTTATCGTTTTGATGTGGCTTGGGGGCCGAATATGAACTTCGCCCTGGCCTTCAGTTTTTCATCGAAATCCATATATCTGGGGTTTAGTTTTTGTGGTTTCTGCGCCCTCGAAACGACCCGTGTGGGAGGGCGCGGCCCCACGCGAACATCATAATTCCGGATATCCCGACGATCCGATGCGGTCCGATGTTCGCATTGGCGCTGTCGTGCATCCTGGCGCGGCCGATGCGATTCGATCTCGGCTCCGTTCCGATGCGGCCCGATCCGACGCAGATCCCGAGTCGATTCGCTTTCCCGATTCAACGCTGACTGATCCTGCTTTGCTTCCTCCCTCCAGCCCTCGCTCCTGCGCAGGTCTGTCACCGATGACTGATGTCCTCTTCCTTCCCTCCCTTCCTCCCATCATGAGTTTTGCGGCGCAACATGTCCTTACATGGCCCCAGGACGGCTCAGGATGGCATCCAATGGGGCCCAGGTGGCCCGAAGACAGCCCAAGACGGCCCAAGATGGGTGGCAAGCCCCAGTTGGCCTCAAGACGGCCCTTGAGGGTCCCGGTACGGCTCGAGAGGGCTTTAGGAAACCCTCCAGGAGGGCGAGATCCGCCACCCTCCCGGGGGCTCGGCGCGATATCGCGAGGGAGACCGCGTTCCGCACGGCACGAGATCGCGAAGCCAGGTGACCCGGCGCTTCCCCGCCAGCCTTCCAACGGTTCGAGCTCTCGCTTGCTTGGTCGGCCACTCGGGGGGGTCGAAAGGGGGTGGTTATCATCCCCAGCTGGAGGCTCGCGCTTCCTACTTCCAGACTGTCTGGAGCGGTTTCCCAACGATCCCATATTTACGCCTAAAGCAGGTTCGCGTCGTGTCGACCCGAGACAGTTCCAAGAGATCCCCCAGATGACCCCAAAACAAAGACAAGGCCATGACTGGCCTAACAGCACCAATCGCTTCCACAGACCCCTGAGTGATTTTCTCCCTCTCGTTTGCTCTGATGTCCTGGATATATCCTCCGCCCTCGAATGTTTCCGCGGCAATTCGCGTTAGTCGGCGTAGGGAGGGAGGGAGGGAGGGAGGGAGGGAGGCAGGGGGGAAAAAGGGACGAGAGAGGAGGGAGGGTCCCTCACGGCCCTCACCTACCTCCGTTTTTGTTCCCCACCTGTACCCGTTTCCGCGATTTTGCTGCCGCGAGTCCCTTCAGTTTGTTGGGCCCAACTCGCGAGCGCACGCCTTCCACCCTGGCCTTCTCGCCTCCTCCCGTCCCTCTCCCCGCGACTCCCAGCTCTTCCCTCGGAGCCTTTCCCTCTCCCCCCCTCCACCCTTTCAAGATGCCCACGCGCGCCGAGACAAAAACGCTCGAGTTCGATCAGTCCTGCGAGTGCCACGGCTGTTGCGACGTACTACTGTTCACCGCTACCCTTCACCCTTTCGTGTATACAGTCAACCCGCATGGTAAGGATAGGCCATCTTCCCAAGGGTACCATTGCATCCTTGCCTCCTCGGTCCATCCTTGGCCACTTTCGTTGGCCGCGCCCCGCTCGAAAAGCTTCGAAGTGGGCGCCCAAGGCCCTGGCACCCTTATCCGAGCACCCTTGTGATTCGGGCCGACGATCTGCTCGTGCTGAGCGGGCCGTCGTCGCACCTGTCCATGCGAGTTGTCGCGACTGCCGCTCCGGCGTGGGCCGAAGTTGATTGGCCTGTTTTCAATCACCACCACCAGAAGTTGGAGGAGGGAAGGAGGAGGAGGACGAGGAGGAGGAGAAGAGGAGGAGGAGGAGGTGGAGGAGGAGAAAGAGGAGGAGGACGAGGAGGAGGAGGAGGACCACCTCCCCCTCCAACTTCTGGTGGTGGCCGTGGAGAACAGGCCCGTCAGAAGTCCTCCGAGGGGGGCCGCGGCCCCGCCGCCGACAACTGGGAGGCGCTCCTCCGGCAGCTCTGCGCTCGGAGCTGCGCGGCGGCGCTCCCGCGCTCGCCCGCTCCGCCCCCGCCCCCGCCCCTCCTTGGCATCGCGCTCGGACGTGTGATTTGTTCCTTTGGCGGGGGCCCTCGGGGAGCACAGGGCTCGTGTCGATCCCTTCCATTCGATTCGATTCGATGTCGATGGCTTCCGGTTCCGGTTCGATTTGTTTTCGGACTCCAATTTGGGTTCCGATTTCTCAGTGGAGGCCGAGTAGCTTGCCGATTTCTGTCGATCCGGCTTCCCCCGACCTGTTTGCCGATTTCCGCCGACTCGGTTCATTTCGGTTGCCGATCGAATTTCCGATCCGATTCTGGGTTCTCCTGGGAGCATCTGGGATAATCGAGAAAAATTAACGCGCACGAAGACCTCAAATGCGCTCCGTCATCCCCCCCCTTTGGCATCGCTCGGACGTGTGTATTCTTTCCTCGGCGAGGACCATCGAGGAGCATCCGGGATCATCGAGCACAACACTGCACACGCAAGAAAACCCGAAACTGTCTGGCATCGCTCGGACGTGTGCCTTTTTTTCCTCGACGAGGGCCCTCGAGGAGCATCCGGGCCCGTCGGGCCAAAAAAAAACCACGCGCGAAAACGACGAAATGCTCGGGGGATGGACGGCCGAGCGACGGCAAGCCCCCGCGAGGTGAACGGCGAGCCGGTGCCCGACAACGAGGCGGTGCGGGCCGCCGTGAGGCGGGCGCTGGACGCCCACGCCGCCGAGGCGCGTGGGGTGGGCGCGTCGGGGGTGGTGAGGCCCAGGGGGTGGGATCATGAGGCTGATGGTGGTGGTGGTGGTGATGGTGGTGATGATGATGATGATGATGATGATGATAATCTGATGGTGCTGATGGTGATGGTGGTGAGGTTGGTGTTGATGTTGATGATATGATGATGGTGGTGGTGGCGGTGATGATGCTGGTTCTGATGAACATGATGGTGATGATGCTGATGATAGTAATGATGATGATAACGGTGATGGTGATGGCGATGATGGTGATGGTGATTGTGGTGATGTTGGTGTTGGTGTTGGTGTTGATGTTGTTGTTGATCATGGTGTTGACTATGATGGTGGCATTCATGATGACGACGATGAGGATGATAATGATGATGGTGATGGTTCTTGTAACGGTGATGCTGACGAAGCTGATGATGGTGGTGGTGGTGATCGTGGTGAAGAAGGTAAGATGATGGTGGCGGTGGTGGTGGATGTGGTGGTGATGATGCTGATGCTGCTGATGGTGGTTATGATGATGCTGATGATGATGCTGGCGATGATGATGCTGATGTTGAAGATGCTGATGAGTATGATTGTGATGATAATGATGATGGTGATGCTGATGATGATACTGATGCTGCTGATGATGATGCTGATGATGCTGATGATGATGAGCGTGGCGAGTGTGATGAGTGTGATGATGTGGAAGAGGATAATTGGAGGACAAGCAGCAGGGGAGGAGGAGGAGGATCATGTGGAGGTGGAGGAGGATAGTCAGGAGGGGAATGGGAAGAGGAGGAGGGGTTGGAGGAGGAGGGCGAGGAGCAGGCGGAGGAGGGAGGAGGAAGACGAGGCATAGACTCCACCGCTGAGTCCCATGGAACCTGCAAGACTCGTCCTCCTTCTTTGCTCCCTTCGGCCGGCCCCCATCAAGGGATGGGCAGGAACGTCGTCGTCGTCTGGGGTGAGTGTGAGGAGAAGGGCGTTCCATCCCTCGCACGCGCTGCTGTATGTAGACTCCATTGACACGTACTTCCGTTCAGCCTGTGGGTGTTGTAGTGGCTTGCGTGCGACCGCACTGGCAGCACAGCGCGAGCGCATGACTGCCAAGGGTGAATAGAACCTGAAGTGACTTCATTAGGTAAGTGGCCCCACCCCTTGGGAATGCCTAGGAGAGTGCGAGAGGTAATCAATTGGCGCGGTGCTCTGGAGGCCTTTACCAGGGCGATTGCAAGTGGCGGGCGTAGAGCATAGCATTGTGGTTCTGAACTAAGGTACGTCTCGGGTCATCTGCGTGGTAATCTCCGTCGAGGACGACTAGGAGATGAGGAGGTGTAGGACGAGGCCGATGAAGAGGAGCATGATGCGCGAGGATCAAGAAAGAGGAGGGAGGTGGAGCAGGCTGCGCAGGAGGAGGCGCACGAGGAGGCGCAGGGGGAGAGAGGAGCAGGTGCGATGAGCAGGAGGAGTGAGGAACAGGAGAGGGAAGCAGGATGGGGAGGTGGAAGGAGAGGCGGCTCGGGAGGAGTAAGGAGGAGTGAGGAGCAAGAGCGAGGATGATTACCATAGCCCCCCGCGGTTGCGGATAATTGTGAGGGACGGCGGGGTCGTCAAATGTCTGCGAGGCTTGAGCGCAGGCGCTTACTTGCTGCACTTTGAACAACGAGCCCGCCGGAGGCGCCGAGCTTTCGTCAAAACAATGGCGGTGGGTCGCGTGTGGGTCACGGGTGGGTCGCGGGTGGGTCGCACGGGTGGGACGCTGGTGGGTCGAGGTTGTGTCGCTGGCGGGACGCAGGCGAGGACGACGACAACACAATTGCATACCACAACAATTATCCGCACCGTTGATCACCACGCACCCATGAGCATTGTAAGACCGTTTGGCCATCTCTGTCTGACCTAGCGTAATCAACGCCAAGGGGTGATCATTGACTGCTCTGGAGTACCAGTGGATGGGCTCATATACGAAGGCAGTCTTGGCCATGTAGGTGTGCGAGAGGAAGAGGATGAGCAGAGGCAGAGCATGGGGATTTGGACAACGACTGCGAGAGAAAGACGAAGAGGATGAGGAGGGCAACAGGCTGAAGATGAGGAGGACGAGCAGGAGTTCGACAACGACGACGAGAGGAAGAGGAACAGGAGGAGGAGGAGGAGGAGGAGGAGGAGGAGGAGGAGGAGGAGGAGGGGGAGGAGGGGGAGGAGGAGGAGGAGGGGGAGGAGGAGGAGGAGGAGGAGGAGGAGGAGAGCGTATGATAAGTAGATGTTGGACGACGACGACGACGACGACGACGACCGGAAGGGGCGGCCGCCGGCCAGGGCAAGCCGCTGCGCTTCAAGGTCCGGCGCCCCGTGCGAAAGCAGGACGTCCTCCCTCGCCGCGTCCACGGCCCCCCTCCCTCAGGAGGAAAAGAAACACACAGACACAATGAATCCTCGATTCCCTAGAAAATCTGGGAAAATATGGGAAATGGGGGGGAAGACAGAAGCCCAGAAAATATGGGAAAATATGGGGAATCTTTTCATTTGTGTGTATTTGTTTGTGTGCCATGGGGCCCCTTCACTCCCCCCCTTCTCAGGGGCAACGGCAGGGGGGGAGAGGGCTCAGGAGGGGTGCGCCGAACCTCGGCGGCGAGCGAGGGGGGGGAATGTGAGAAGTATGAGGCCTTCTCGGAAGGTTCGGAAGTCCCCCAGCCTTCTGAGACGTGTTCTGAGCCCTCCCCGAAGGCAAACAGAAACGTCTCAGAAGGCGCGAGGGCTTCTGAGAAGTCCAGCCGCCTTCTGAGAAGGCGTTCTCCTTCTCAATTCCCCCCCTCGCTCGCCGCCGAGAACCCCGATTGCCCACTGATTGCCAATAGGGCCCCGATAGCCCGCTCCGCCCAGCAATGTGCGGCTTCGCTATCCCGGGCCCATCGCCGCTGATCGGGGATGCATCACCGCTTCCGGCTCGATGCTTCTCCTCCTGAGCCAGACTCCGTTGTCGTTGCTTTCACCTCTGTTTTTCTGGCGCGTCCGTATGCCGGATTGACTTGATGGGCGGGTTTTCCACCACCAACACCATAAATTGGAGGGGGGAACGAGGTGGAGGACGAGGAGGAGGACAAAAATGAGAAGGAGTAGGAGGAGAACCCCCTCCCCCTCCAACTTATGGTGGTGGTGGTGGAAAACAAGCCCATCATGACTGGGAGCCGACCGCGTGCATTGAATTGTCTGCTGGCGATGCCGACTTGAAAGTCAAGTTCGGGGTTCTGGACATCGGGACGTTAGGCGTTCCGTTTGGTGCTCGTGATTTGCCCGGTTTCGTTTTGTCGGCGGTTGCCCTCGGAAGTTGCCTCGGCTCCTCGGGGCAACCGTGTGCTCGCTTCAACCATCGGTGTTTCCAGGTCTACATCTTGTGGAGGAGGTCGCCTCTCAAGTGCCACGTGCGCGACACATGTGACGCTGATGCTTTTTGGCCCCAGCGACGTGCGTCGTACTTTGCATTCACTGTGCCAGGATCCTGTAAGGTCTTCGAACTGGTCCAAAATGGACTTGTTCCCAAAATGTACACGCCGGTCGTTGAAAGTAGGTATTTCTGAATTTCCAGATCCCAATCTTCTTCTAGCGCCTTCCTACTTCAATAATCGATATGCTTTTGCTGTGTTTGGCTAGTATCTGGGAGGACGCAACCTACTTTGTCCGCCTTGCTACTCCGTGTTTTTACCTACTTCATCCGACCGACGTGTAGTCGACCTTGGTAGCCGGTGGGCTGTGTTTGTCGATCATGGCTTCCGGAGCCAACGATGCTGCGAAAGACCGGATGTTGTCCCTCCCTCTGCACCAGATGCAGTCCAGGGGTTCGACGCCGCCGGCTTCCATCCCGGACCTTCCATGTCCTGCAACTTCGACCTTTTCTTGCTCAGCCCGCCAGTAGTGACCGCAGCTGTGGTATCTGCGAGCAGCATGTTCTCAAGTCTCCTTGGGGTCCAGGTGCTTTCCTCCTCTTTCCTGAGTTCTCCTCCTCCTCCGTCTTGCTGTCTGCGTGTATGTCTGCCTTCCTGCCCCTCTCTCTTGCTCTCCTTCTATTACTATTCCTGCCTCATGTTTATGATTTGATATCCTTCTTTCTGCCTCGTTCTCTCGCCCTCTCTCTCTCTACACACACACATCTATGGTAGCAATTTTCCCAAACAGCTTGCTGAACGGGGTGCTGTTGTGGTCGTAATTGGGTCCTCGTCGAGGGACCTCTCCGCAGAGACACCCTCAAGAAAACTTGGTGGTCGGGGCCGTTTCGCCTGAGACGCCCTCAGAACTCTCTCTTTTTTCTGAGCATCGCCGTTCTGAGCGCCGAGCCGCCCCGCGCGAGAGGTGGTCGGGCGTGTCTCGCCCGAGACATCCTCGCAACGCTGGGCTTCGAGCTGCCGCCGCGCGATAAGGGGTCCAGCGCGTTTCGCGTGAGACATCCTCGCAACTCTGATCTCCAAGACGCCGCGCGCGAGGTGGTCCCGTGCGTTTCGCCTGAGACACCCTCGCAACTCTGAGCTCCGAGATGCTGTGCAAGAAATGGTTCAGACAGTTTTGCCCGAGATTTCCTTGCAATTCTGAGCTCCGAGATGCTCTCCTTCCCTCCCGCTTTCTCCGAATCCTCCCTCGGGAATGTGGTACTTCACGGGGCTCTGGCATCCGAAAGGAAGCTCCCACCAAGCCCGGCATGCTGCGCATGACGGTGGGCGACGGCGGCGGCATCGCCGTGCCCATGGTAGAGTTGTTCAGGACCTGGCCGCCCCATCTCACGCACCCCTTTCTCTGGAGAGCGGGAGAAAGAGAGACAGAGAAAGAGAGAGAGAGAGAGAGAAATATAAACAATAGAACAAAGAAACCGATAGAGAGAAAGAGAAATATAGAGATACGAGCTGGCAGTTGGCGTGGCGAGGGCGTTGTTGGATGCATTCCTGATCGGCTGGGTGCCGCGCGGCGAAGAAGAGTAAGTGGGTGCGATCGAAAGACGGAGAAAACCTGACATTGGCAGGAGTCGGGAATGGCGGGCTAGGTGTATCAATCAACGCGTGCCGTCAAGCACTGAATTGTTTGTGGCTCGAACGTTTCATCCGGTTATTTACTCAGTGGTTGATTACAGTGGTCGGTTGCCAATCCAAGTCAGGGTGAGGGGGGACCAAAACGGTCATGCATGATCCCTGCGCGCGAGTGACCAGAGTAGAGGCGGCGACGCCAGAAAGCGCGCCAGGAGGGCGCGCTGGGAATGTTCGCTCGGAGGGCGCCCTGGGAGGGCGTGTTGGGGAGACGGAATGCCCATGAAACGCTTGGTTGTAGCTCCGTTTTCCACCTCCCCTCCTTTTCGTCCTGGCTCCCCATGCTCGTACCCGCAACTGCGGTGTGGCACGTGCATCTTTCCAACTCAGTGGTAGTCCTGGGGACGCGGTGCTGATCACGATCAGTGTGGTCAGCACTTCTCAATGATAAAATGCGTGCTCGCGGGGCGGGCCGGCGTGGACACACTGAGCGGCGTTCATAAGGCAGCCATTGGACGGGCGGAGGCGATGCTCACGGAGCGGCCGCAGCGGCGTTCGTGGCTGTTGGCATTTTCCGATGTGGTATATTCTTCTGCGCCAAAGTCATCGGTGCCCAGGGCGTCTGGCTCCTCGAAGCAGATTTCGCGTCCCGTATGTGAGTGGGAGCACGAGGGTATGGCTACGAAGCATGTCGTGGAGCTAGAACGGGATCTTCTGCGTTCGCCGAAGCGCGTTTGTATAATGCCATGCCAAGTTCCTCAGCCGTACGATGAGCGGCGCTTCGCGCAAATATCAATGCGGCGATGCAGACAGATTTGGTGCAACATATGAAGTGCGAACTACCAACCAGCCTGCGTCAAATTCGCCAGCGCGTCAGCGAAACACTGTGTGTAGCCTTCCTTCGGGCGCCGGGCTCCTAAGGCGGGTCATATTGGGCTCCTGGGGCGCTTTTGGACCGTCTTCGGGCCTCTTGGGTCATCTTGGGGCCCTCTTGGCCGTCTGGGGGGGGGCGTCTTGGGCCTGACCTTCTCGGACCCGCCCTAGGCCGTCTAGGGGCCATATTCGGGCTCTCCGTGTATTTTATTGTGCAGGCCTTACGGCCGGTGTTGCCGACCCCGAAGGACGACGACGACGACCTCCACCAAGACGACAACGAAGTAGACGAGCTGATGACCCTGCAACAGGCTCGGGACATGGGGCGGGCGGTGGAGGGAGGAGAAGGTGGAGGAGGAGGAGGAGGAAGAGGATGAGGAAGAGGAGGAAGAGGAGGAAAAGGAGCAGTAGGAGGAGGAGGATGAGCAGGAGGAGGAGGACGAGGAGGAGGAGGAGGAGGAGGAGGAGGAGGAGGAGGGGGAGAGGGAGGGGCAGGAAGAGGAGGAGGAGGAGCAGAAAGAGAAAGAGAAAGAAGAGAAAGAGGAGGAGGAGAATCTTCGGGCCCTCAGTGTATGTTATTTGGGGCATCGAGGGCAGCAGGAAGATCAGCCTTCGACTGGACGCGTCGAAAACAAGAACATTGGCAGCAAATTTACGTTTGTGGGTCAGCGCATATGTTTGGTTTGTCCAGCGCCGCCTTGGGAGTGTCTTGGGGAAGTATTCGGGCCGTTTGGGGGCTGCTCTTACAGTAGGCTCTTGGGTTAGAGGCGATGCCATGCTATATATTGGCGGTCCGTGGCGGCCTTCTTGTATATATTGTCGTGGCAGCCGTTGGAAGTATCCGAACTTCTAAGAAGGGGCGTCCGAATGCGCAGGAATTTTCGGGAGAGGGTCGGAAATGCACGTGGGGACCCGTGAGGAGATGGGGGTCCCTTTGACGCGTCAGGAACCCGATGCGACATCACTTTGCATTCTACCGCGCTTAGGTGTGGCAGGGGGCACGGCGGTGTATGTGACGCGGTGTATCATTTGTGCAACATACATGGTGGAACGCCGGTTGTTTCCCTTGCGAACTAAGTGGGCGCCACTTGTTGCGTGGTTAGCTTCCGATCTGACGCGGCTATGTCCCCCTATGTTTCCTTACGTGCCTGTCTCCCTCAATTTTTCCTCCACGATCATTTTCCCGCCCGACTTCACAGAACAATGCTGTCCGACTTCCACGTGGTGCTGGTCCTTGATGGCAAGATCAAACTCCCGAACAACAACTTGTCGGCCAGGGCGATCAAGCTCCTCGATGACAGAGGCCTTCGCGCGCGTGGTCTAGCCCCCTTCACAGGAAGAGCTCGGTTGAGAGGGCTTCCAAGACAAGAGGCAGCAGCCGTAGACGGGCTAACGGCGATGCAGGTAACGACGATGTAGGTTTCGGTAGTGTGAGAACGCGTGGCTAGCGCTTTCCTGCAATTCGCTGTGCCGTGTTCGCTCGATCCATTCGCAGATGGGACATGTAGGAACATGTGTTCGTGATTTCCTACAAGTTGGTTCCCAACATCACCGTTAAGCAACATTGCCGTCAGTCCGGCCTTTGAGCAGGAGAAGAGAGGGGGAAGGGGAAGGAGAAGCAGTGGAGGCGCAGCAGGCTTTGTGAGGAGGACTGTAGCAGACACAGGGACGAAGCAGGGAGCCCGGAGACGAGAACGGCCTCGTCTTGAAGCGTTCAGCCTGCAGCAATCAATGAGTCAAGCAGTGGTGAAGCGTCTTGGCGTGCCTATAATTAGGCCTACCAAGCAATATTCTGAGAGCCTTCTTGTGGTTTCTACGAAGTGTTGTAAGACTGGCTGAGATAATCTTGTTTTAACACGTCTGTTTTTGTCGTTCGAGCTTTCTTAGGTTCTAAGTTCGCTGGGACGGTCGACTCGGCCCCTGCTCAAAGGAACGGAACAGGAGAGTAGATGAACACGAGGCGGAGTCCATCTCCAGTGGGCGGCGCGAGAGCGCGGATCCAGGCCTCCAGCAGCCTCCACGACGCTTCGAATCGGCGTGCCTGGCTCCCTGCATGAGCCCGACCCGCCCCCGTGCAGGCGTCGTCAGCTGGCTTCCATGGCCGCCTCCAGTTCTCCCCTCCCCGGCGCCGTGAGCCTTTTCTGCGAGCGGCGTGACCAAGCAGCGGCGTGACCAAGCCACGCCTCCCTCCTCCCGCCTTCATCCTCCCTCCTTCCTCCTTCCCTCCTCCCTCCTCCTCCTCCTCCTCCGCCTCCTCCTCCTCCTCCTCCTCTCCTGGCGCAGGGCTCCTTTCTGGACCCCTGCGCCAGGAGACGCCCCTGATGCCTGCGCCTCGGACGCCCGCAGGCGGCGCGTTCTCCCCCCGGCGCCGTGCACCCCTCCTCGGGACCGCCGCGCTCGCCGGGGAGGGGCCTCATAGTAGTCAGTAACGGGCCCAGGGACCTCTGGAGGGGATGTCACGCTCCGCGCCTCGCGGCCCGGGGCGGCTGGAGGGCTCCTCCCGGGTGGCCTCGCGGGGGCGTGGAAGTATAGCTGCGCGTCGCGCCTCGCGGAGCGCGGCGCGTGAAGGCAGGATGTGCAAGAGTAGTCCGAAAAGTAGTCTGGGGACGCTTGTTCGTGCTCATGTTGTGGTTGCGTTTGAATGTTAGTTGGTTTGTTGATTTCATGCTTCTCTCAGCACCCGCCAGTAGGAAGACATGCCCGACCTGAAGTTGGGTGGCCAAGCAGCCAAGCTGGCGAGGGGGTGCCTGTGCGGGCAGAGATCTGCTGCCCGGAGCCGTCCGCAGGTTACGTGGGTTTTACTTTGCTTTCCGTCCTCGTCTCCGCTGGACCGGTCTGGGGTTTTGGATGTTACCATTTGGTATGTGTTTTTTTTCTGTGGTCGGGGCGTGAGGTCCCTGTGTGTGTGTGTTTTTAAAAGGCCCACGCGAGCACGATGCTCACCACTCTCGTGTTTCCAGCCTCCCCGTGACTATATAGCTATCCGCCGGCTGGGGGCCGCTGGTGGGCCCGCAGCAACGGGCGAAAGTTGAGGGAGGAGGGGAGGGGAAGCGGAGGAGAAGGAGGGAGGAGGACGAGAAGGAGGAGGAGAAGGAGGAGGAGGAGAAGGAGGAGGAGGAGGAAAAATAAGGAGCAGGATGAGGAGGAGGAGGAAGAGGAGGAGGAGGAGGAGGAGGAGGAGAGGGGTAGGAGGAGACGAGTTGGAGGAGGAGGAGGAAGGAGAGGAAGGAGGTGGGAGGGAGGTAAGGAAGGAGGAGGAGGAGGCGGCCATGAGCGGCTGGCACGCTCCCTGCAGGGGCAGTGTACACGGGGCTCGACGCCTCTGACGAGAGGTACAACCCTGGCCTGCGCGCGGCCGTGGAGGCGCGCGGAGGAGGAGGAGGAGGAGGAGGAGGAGGAGGAGGAGGAGGAGGAGGAGGAGGAGGAGGGAGGAGGAGGAGGAGGAGGAGGAGGAGGAGGAGGAGGAGGAGGAGGAGGAGGAGGAGGAGGAGGAGCAGGAGGACAAGACAAGACAAGGGATACCTTTGACGAGGTCGTACACTTGGAAACCCCACTGCTGTCATGGCCGGCCACGCCGCCTGTGTACCACCCAGTTTTGGGAGTGCCTCCAACGAATTGGCATTAAGACAACACGAAGGCTTTTCACAGTTTTCGGCCTCCAGGGTCCACGCTGCGCCCCGGGCCATCAGACAACGATTCAGGATGGGACACCGGCCCCAGGGAAAGGGTCAGGACTTCTGGGGAGACCGGATTGCAAGAACCAATACATCGGACTTCTGGGAATGCCTGAGGTGGTACCCCCCAGTCGTTCACTCGTCGCAGATATGAGCCCCGGTAGCTGCCCAGGAACGTTCGGTTTCGCTATTGAGCGCCGACCGACGATCTCTCGGCGATAAGTCGCAGATTCTCGCTGTGTCCTGGCCCTGATGATCTCTTGGGTGTCTCTTGTGGGCATCTGTGGGCCTCTTCTCTTGGAGCCTCCTGACGATCTCGCATGTCATCTTGGGGTGGGAGGCTCGACATGTCCGTTCGAGTCCCCCTCCTGGGCCTCTTTTGAGGCAATCTTCGCACCGCTTGGGCCCTCTCCGAGGCATCGGGGCCGTCTTGGGGCGACCTTGACCTTGGGGATATCAAGGGCCTCCTGGGGCGTTCTTTTCATACCGAAAAAGGCGGGTGTGCTAAAGCGACAAAGAATACACGCATGGGTTCTCCAATGATTTGGACCCCTTGATGTGCGAAAGTGCACAAAATCCACGTATGGATTCTCCAGTGATGTGGGGCCCTTGGGCCAGCCCCAGGGCCTCCAAGACGGCCGAAGAGGCCCCCACGAGGTCCCCAGGGACGGCTCGGACACTATCTTAGGCCATGCTGGAAATGCGTCATCCCCCTTGTGCTCGCGAGGCCTCTGGAAAAGCCACGCGGATACCCCGCAGAAGTCACGCGGCGCGGCGATCCCCAGGAGATCCAGCATTCGAGAGCCGGCTCGTACCCTCTAAGAGTAGGAGTGAAAGCAACAAGTTCGCCAGATCGATCGAGTCAGAGGGTCCCGCCTGCCCCCAGCATCGTGTAACCGATCCCTATCCCCTTCTCCGTCCCGTCCAGATCCCCACCATCCCACCACCCTAGTTGGGGATATGCCCCTCGAAACTCCAATGGCACAGCCCATATCCCCATCTAGGAGGATACATCGGCCAGTGGGGCCCAGGCCACGCCCGCGGGGAGAGAGGGACCGCTTCAACGATGCTCATATCTTCCCACGCTCCCTCCCACAACATGATTACGAATCGATTGTGGCACAGCATCGGGGCGCGACCCTCCCGCTTTGACCGACAAATGTTAGGGGGGCACATGCGAACCCTGCCCCTACCCACCGCGATTTCTGAGGGGGAGGGGGGGGGTCACTTCGCTCGGGAGCTCCCGCTCGGGTTCACTTCGCTCGGGAGCTCGTGAACCCCACCCTCCCCCTCAGAAATCGTGGAGGGTAGGGGTAGGGCTCGCATGTGGCCCCCTAAATGTCTCGTCGCCCGGCCGAGGTCGGCACTTCGCCCGCCCTCGTGCGGCCCCGCCGCCGTTGTCGCCGTCGCGCGCTTCGGCGGCCGAACCCTGCGCCGCGCCCGCGCGGGACACCGCTCGGGAGGGAACAAAAACACAGGCACAATGACTCGTCGATTCCCAAGAAAATATGGGAAGATATGGGAAGCGGGGGGGAAGACAAAAAAAAGCCAGAAAATATGGGAAAAGATGGGGAATCCTGTTAGTTGTGTGTATTCATTTGTGTGTCCCAGGGCCCCTTCAATCGGCGAGTGTCAAGCATGAGCCGCGTGCGCCACTTTCAGGGGAACTCGGCGCGGCGCCGAGGCGAGCGAGCGAAGTGCTCCTCCGCCCGCGCGTCGGGAGAGCTGCGTGCGACACGTGTGCGGCAGGCCCGGGCGGGGGCTCACGTCTCCAGGCAGGTCAGCGCGGCGCCGAGGCGAGCGCGACGTTTCGATCTTTCTGCGCAGGGTGTGCGCCCCGCCCGCTCCTGCTGCACATGTTGCAACATGGACGCCATCATGCCCATGTCAAGACGGACATCGTCGACTTCGTATTGTTCCCCGCGTTCTTCTCCTCCTCCTCCTCCTTCCGTAGCCATTTTGGCTCTAGCCAGCTCCCGCGCGGGTTCAAGGGTCTGCCTCTGGCGATAGCCAAACGGCGGGCCCTTCGCTCGGGCGTAGCCATGGCGACGGGAGGGTGTGGAGATGCACGCCCAATTCGCCGCAGCCCCGAGGACCGCAAGGCAGGGAAGCTGTGGGCTAGGCAGTCTGCCGATCGTGCGATCATCAAGCTCTCCGACGAGCTCAGGCGGGTGCAGGCGGACTTCGAGGCGATCATTGGTGGCCTCACCACCATCTTCGGGTGCGCGGAGCTGGCCGATCGCATCGTCGCAGTGGCGCCGGCCTTGGGGGAGAAGCTAGCAGGGCGCGTGCCGTCTGCGGCGCTAGCTGTGAGAAGGAACGTTGCCCTGCATTCCGACGCTCGCGGTGTACGAGTGTCGACTGCGCCGATCGAGCAGTTGCGGCGCCTGCAGAAATATGGGGCCAGGCTGGAGGCCCGTGCGGAGGCAGAGAGCTTCACGTTCAACGCGGACGCTTTGGAGTTCTTCCCTTGTGGCCCGCTCGGCACGTGTTGGGAATGTTTGCCGCTGCCTGGTGTGCTCGGTTATTCGGAGTCGGGGTTGATCGAGGCCGTCGAGGGCACCTCCTTGGCTTGCGCTGGCGACGGCGGCGGGGAGCATGATGTCGGCCCTGCTTGCGACGTGCCGTCTAAGGTGATCACCCCCGAGTTTTTCGCAGCTGGTCGCAAGTCGTCTTCTACTTCGGCGCCGTCACTGGGCCTCTGTCCTGTCGAAGGGCTGCGCCAGGGAGGTGGGGTTCCAGTTCGTGTTTTTTTTCCTAGGGAGCCGCTTCGTGCTGATAGACTTCCGGATCTGCTGGCTGGCCCAGGACCTGCGGCGGAGGGGGGCTGTTGCAGCACCTTGGACGAGCTCCTGGAGGCAGAGGTGCTGAAGTATGAGGCGCTGGAGGCCGCACGTGCTTCGCCTAGGGCCCTGGGGGCCCAGCGGGAGGCCGTGGCGAGGGCCTTTGCAGCGCTGAACCTACCCGATGCCGATTCTGGTCGTCCGCTGTGGGTGCCTTCCGGGCTTCCTCCAGATCCAGGCGAAGGATGGCTTTTCGGGTGACTCTAAAGTATGCTTGGCTTTCACACTGAATTATTCATCTTGTGTCTGGTACTGTTCACCGCGTCATGCAGTTACTTTTTCTGCGAATCGGGTGCTTCCTGGTATTGTATGTGGCCGAGGGCTTCCTGGTATTGTATGTGGCTCCCGCTCGTGGGCTTGCGCTGGACGGTGCTGGGCATGGGGTGTGGTCAATTCGTCATCGAAGGTCAACGCATCAGAGGTGGCTTCGCCTTCATCGAGGCGCAGCTGTACGTCCCTCTCGTGCCGCTGCTTTACTTCGTCTGGATACAGAGGTGGAGCGTTGAGTTCAAAGAGTTCAAAAACCTCCTCCTCCTTCCGCTGCCCCCTGCCCTACCGTCCCATCATTCTCATCATCCCTGCCTCTGCCTTTCGCATGATTGTGCTTCGGCACACCCAGTACAGCGCTTCGTTGCTCCGCAGGGATCTCCACCGAAGGCCCCAGCCGCAGGGCTCACATGGCAGCGCCACCCCATTTTGGAACACACACGTCACACGGTTCGGTGCCCCATAGGGAGCTCCACCGAAGGCACCAGTGACAGGGTCCACATGGCGGCGCCGTCCCATTTTGCCGCACCCCTCACACGGCTCATGGCCCCACAGGGAGCTCCACCAAAGGCCCCAGCCGAAGGGTCCACATGGTAGCGCCGCCCCATTTGGGCGCCCCCTCTCGCACGGAGTTGCAGTAGCAGAAGGGACACATGCAGAGATTTGAAAACCGTGAGCAACACATGGTACGAGTAGTATCAGCCGCGTCGCACGTCGAAGCAAGAGCCTCAGCAATACGCGCATCTGTTCAGTCCGCGTGGCGGCACCTGGGCCAGAGCGGAGGGGGTCCGCACTGGCTTCCAGAAATCACCGTGCTGCTTCTGGTTGCCACGAGCTCGAGTTGCGGTGGCAAACGCTGCAAGAAGCAGGGGCCACCCACCGCGAGTCCGGCAGGAGCTCACCGGCGAGTTTGCCCTCCCGCAGCTGTTCGTGGCCGGCAGGTGCCCTCCCTGGCCAGTGCCGCTTCTCGCTCTGCCCGCTCTTCGCTTCCTGCTCCGCCGTCCCCCCTGGCGTCGTCTCGCCGCCCTCCAGGCCGTGGTCGGTGTTGAGGACGGCGAGGAGGAGGAGGAGGAGGAGGAGGAGGAGGAGGAGGAGGAGGAGGGGGAGGGGGAGGAGGAGGAGGAGGAGGAGGAGGAAGAGGAGGAGGAGGAGGAGGAGGAGGAGGAGGAGGAGGAGGAAAGCGGCTGCGGTCTTGGATAGCGGCGGCGAGACGAAGGGGGTGGACATCGGAGGGCGGTCACCGCCCGTGAGACCGCGACGGTGCTGGCGGCGGCGACGGGATGGGCACGGTGGCAGTGGAGGGGGCGGGGCGCCCCGCAGGGGCCCGGAGGCTCTTCTGGGTCACCCCGCAGGGGCGCGAGGATCACCGTGCGTCGTGCTTCGCGGCATGGGCTAAGCATGAACCCGAGAGTTTGCGCGAGCGGGAGAGGATAGCCGCGCTGCGTGCTGCGCGCAGCGCGAACCGCAGAGTTCGGCAGTTCGGCGACCTCGGCTCTTGGAGGAGCGGGGGGTGGGGGGCAGAGGGGCCAGAGGGAGATGGAGCTTGGAGCTGGAGGCCGGGGCCGAAGGTCATTCTGGAGCAGTCCCACCTGTTCAAGCGAACGTGATGTGGGAGGAGAGGTAATGAGGAGAGGCCAGGAAGACGAGGAGGGATGATGAGTCGGCATGGAGGGGGTAGTGCTGCCATTCCTGGTGGCCAGCACCACGCGGGTCTTGGACGAGCACTCCCGGTGGCCTGATGTGCACGAGTTGCCGAGGTCTCGCCGGGGCGCCAGGCCCACAGTCCAGCTCGTGCCCGACCCAGCTCAGGCCCACGACGTTCAGCGTCGGCCGGGTGGTCGGTGGGAGTGCGTGAGATGCCACCGCCGCGCACGGTTGCAGGTGCTGCAGGACGACTGCTGCAGAGGGTACGTCGCCGCCAACCTCGCCATGGTGTTCGCGACGGCTGGCGCCTTCTCGAACGGCCACCGGCTTTGGAAGATGTCGACGTGGGCATGGTGCCAGTGGTGCGGCCAGCACGCCCAGCGCCGCTTGGCAGGCCTCCGCGGCGGCTGCTATGGCCGCCCCAAGCAGCCGTGGTACCTGGCGAACCTGCGCGCGGGCAGGGCGCCGAAGGCTCACGTCGACGATCCTCCGGTGGGGGTCCCAGCTCCCTTCCCGAGGCAGAACGGGAAGAGTGGCAGGCGCGGCGGTGAGTGGGCCGCCGAGCGGGGGGCTGACTGAGGGTGCCGCCATAGCGCAGCTATGCTGGCGTGCAGGCATCTCTGTCACACCATGACCTGCCGTCGCTAGTCTGCGCCAGCCGACCCTCCACCTCCTGGCTCCTCCTCGAACCCCCTCCTCCTTCTCCGCTTCCCTCCTCTCCTCCGCGCCCCCCTCTCAATCCTCGCCAGTGCCGAGCAGGTACGTGGGCAATGCGTACAAGATGGAGGAGCTCGACGAGCAGGGCGAGTTGGCGCCTCTGTCCGGCCGGGCTGGCGCCGATTTTCCGTCGGGAAGGAGGGAGCGCGGAGGAGGCAGGAGGAAGAGGTGTATGAGGAGCGGAGATGGATGATGATGATGATGATGCTGATGCTGATGCTGATGCTGATGATGATGATGATGATGATGATGATGATGATGATGCTGATGCTGATGCTGATGCTGATGCTGATGCTGATGCTGATGATGCTGATGATGCTGATGATGCTGATGATGCCGATGATGATGATGATGATGATGATGATGATGATGATGATGCTGATGATGATGATAATGCTGATGCTGATGATGATGATGGTGATGGTGATTGATGATTGATGATGATGGTGATGAATATGGTGATGGTGATGGTGATGATGATAGTGAATGTGATGGTGATGGTGATGGTGATAGTGATGGTGATGGTGATGATTGTGATAGCGATGGTGATGGTGAGGGATGTGATGACCAGGACGATAATGATGATGATGATGTTGGTGATGACGATGATGCTGATGATGTCGAGGAGGAGGACAAAGAGGAGGAGGAGGAGGAGGAGGAGGAGGAGGTGTGAGAAATCAAGATGATGACAGTGACGATGATGATGAGGGGGAGGAGGCGCAGGAGGAGGAAAAGGATTGAATGGAGGAAGGGGTACGAAGAAGGAGGAGGAGGAAGAGGGTGATGATGATAATGATGATGGCGATGCTGATGATGATGGGGAGGAGGAAGAAAGGATTTTCCGTGAGCGTCAAGTCCGACGCCGGGGCAACGTCGCACCCTTGTGGGCGATCCCTCGGCTCCGGCTGCGTCGCTGGTAGCGCCGCGGAGCCTCCAAAATATTTGTGTTGCGTTCGCCTGCCTGCCGGCGAACGCCCAGCAACTCGACATTTTGGCGCCGCGTCAAGGAAAGGGAGGGGGAGAAGGAGGAGGAGGAGGAGGGGGAGCGAGAGAAGAGGAGGAGGAGGAGTGAGAGAGGAGGAGGAGGACGAGGAGGAGGAGGAGGAGCAGGAAGAGGAGGCGTAGGAGGAGGAGGAGAAGGAAGCGAAGGTGAGAGGGAACACCCGAGGGGACAAGGATTCTGGCATAGCGATGATGCCCTTTGTGTGTCGGGTGGGGCACTTGGCCTCTCCCACCCTAGTGAATCGGTGCTGGTGGAGGTTGGGAAGTCCCACCTGACTTGTGAGCACCTGGGGGTCTGGGGCGGTCGCGGAACTTGTTGCGGGGTATCATTGAGGAGCCTCGCCAGAGCAGCGCGTGCATAATCTGACAGTTACAGCGTTTTTGTATAGCCATCTTCGAAACAGGAGAAAAAAAAACATCACATTAATAATCCGACAGTTGCAGCGTTTTTCCCTACCTAGGTTCTGCCTAGAAGGGTTCTTACTCTCTTAGCTTAAAGGGGCCGGGCAGTGGAAAGCGCCCCGGGCGGTTCCCCCGGTCCCCGCCCCGCGGTTCCCCCAGTCCCCTGGGAGCTTTAGTTTTAGCTTTAGCTTTGGCTTTGGCTTTAGCTTTGGCTTTAGCTTTAGCTTTAGCTTTAGCTTAGCTTTAGCTTAGCTTTAGCTCAGCTTTAGCTTAGCTTTAGCGTAGCTGTAGCTTTAGCTCAGCTTTAGCTTAGCTTTAGCTTTAGCTTAGCTTCAGCTTAGCTTTAGCTTAGCTTTAGCTTAGCTTTAGCTTAGCTTTAGCTTAGCTTTAGCTTAGCTTTAGCTTAGCTTCAGCTTAGCGTTGGCTTAGCTTTAGCTTAGATTAGCTTAGCTTTAGCTTTGCTTCAGCTTAGCTTTAGCTTTAGCTTTAGCTTAGCTGCAGCTTAGTTTTAGCTTTAGCTTTAGCTTCAGCTTAGCTGTAGCTTAGCTGTAGCTCAGCTGTAGCTCAGCTTTAGCTTAGCTTTAGCTTAGCTTCAGCTTAGCTTGAGCTTAGCTTTAGCTTAGCTTTAGCTTAGCTTTAGCTTAGCTGTAGCTTAGCTGCATCTTAGCTTTAGCTTAGCTGTAGCTTAGCTATATCTTAGCTTTAGCTTAGCTTTACTGTTACTACTAATGCTGCTTTCCTGGGGGTAGGGTCGCACTGGGATAATTTTAAGCGCTGTTGAAACACATTCAAACATCGATCGTAATCTGGATTCGTTTGCGCCGGTTCGACTGGTGATTGAGAATGCAAAACGCTCCTGCAGAGCGCAGCCCCAGTGCCCCCAGCAGTCGCGCAGTGCACCACATCTTGGGGCGGTGGGAAAACGGCTTCAGTAGTCTCAGTGGGCCTTGCGCGTCCAGGATCATCATGTTCGAACGCGTTGGACCGCTCATGCGCCGCATGTTTAGTTTCGACATTGGGTCCATTACCTATATGATGTAGTAAGCCCCCGTTGTATGTAATCGGTGCCTGATGGTGCCCTCGGGCTTCTCATAGAATCCCTCGCCTGCCTATAGAGCCCGTTTTGGTGCCCATAGGACGCCAGATGGTTCGTTGCGTTTCCAAATGCTTTCTCTGGGTCCCACCTTCGCCCGGCAGTCTCGCCCAGTCGCCCCGCTGGCCCGACGCTGGTTCCACGCGGGCCCCGAGGGTCTAGATAGGCTCGCAGTGTCTCACGGTTTCCCAAGAGCCCCCATGGATTATCTGTTTGCCCCCCCGAAGCTTCCATTCAAGCGGAGATTATTATCGTTGCGTTTGCGGGCCCCGTGTATTTTCTGGAATGCGGTCGCGCAGGGTGTCACGCTCCGCGGCATTAGGCACAAGCATGGCCCAAGAGGGGCCAGGCCCTTGGGCTGCCGCGGCCGACCCCTTGACGGCCGCGGGGCTTGGTGCCCTGGTGGCGGTCGCCAATGCGCGGCCCAAGCTGGGGCGCCAGGAGGTGGTGGCCCGCGTGGTGGCGGGCCGAAAGGCTGCCGCGGCGCGGCGCAAGTTGGCGCTGTTCTTCTGCTTCGCGCGCGCGCGCCAGTCCATCCAGCAACCAGCGTTGCAGGTGTTTTCGTGGCTTCGCATGATTTTGCATTTCGTGGCTCCGCGCGCGCGCGCCCCCGCGCGCACGCGCGCTCGCGGGCAACGAGGAACGCGCATTATGCCATAATGTAAAATTCCACGTTGGGGCCTCCAGAATACGAGTGGAACAATTGGTTTTCACCATTGAGCTTTTGAGATTGAGATGGCTACTCTGTATGCGCATTTGATTGCGCGCGCGCGAACGCGCGCGCGCGCAAACGCGCGCGCACGAGCAACCCTGACAAGTTCAGTGCACCTCAACGTATGCTTCTGCGTTGAGGCCTCCAGAATATGAGTGAAACAATTGGTTTTCACCATTGAGTGTTCGAGCTTAAGATGGCTACTCTGTATGCGCATTTGATTGCGCGCGTGCACAAAGCAACCCTGGACAGTTTAGCGTGCCACATTGTAGAATTCTACGTTGGGGCCTCCAGAATATGAGTGGAACAAGTGGTTTTCACCATTGAGTTTTTGAGATTGAGATGGCTACTTTGTATGCGCATTTGATTGTGCGCGCGCGTGCGCGCACGCGCGCGCTCGAGCAACCCTGAAAAGTACAGCGTGCCGCATTGTATTTTTCTGCGTTGAGGCCTCCAGGGTACGAGTGCAACAATTGGTTTTCACCATTGAGTTTTCGAGCTCAAGATGGTTACTCTGTATGCGCATTTGATTGCGCTCGCGAGCGCGCGCGAACGCGCGCGCGCGTGCGCGCGCGCGCACGTACGCGCGCGCACAAGCAATCCTGAAAGGTTCAGTGTGCCACGTTGTAGAATTCCACGTCGGGGCCTCCAGAATATGACTGGGACCTTTTTTTTTGCCGTGGAGTTTTTGATATTGAGATGGCTACTCTGTATGCGTATTCGATTGCGCGCGCGCGTGCGCGTGCGCGCGCGCTCGAGCAACCTTGAAAAGTAGAGCGTGCCACATTGTATTGTTCTGCGCTGGGGCCTCCAGAATATGAGTGGAACAGTTGGTTTTCACGATTGAGTTTTCGAGCATAAGGTGGCTACTCTGCATGCGCATTAGATAGCGCGCGCGCGCGTGCGTGCGCGCTCGAGCAAACCTGAAAAGCACAGCGTGCCACGGTGTTTTGTTCCGCGCTGGGGCCTCAGAATGCACGTGAAACGGCCGGCTTCCACCATTGAGTGTTCAAGATTGAGATGGCTACTCTGTATGCGCATTTGATTGAGCGCGCGCGAGCGCGCGCGTGCGCGCGCGCACGAGCAACCCTGCATACTACCTCGCTTCACAGTGTATGTTTCTGCGTTGAGGCCTGCAGCATATGAGTGAACCTGCTGGTTTTCACCATTGAGTTTTCGAGATTCAGATGGCTACTCGGCATGGCATTTGATTGCGCGCGCGAGCGCGCGCGCGCGCGAGGAACCCCGAAGCGCACAGCGTGCTACAATGCATTTTTCTGCGACGAGGCCTCCAGCATATGAGTGGAACAGTTGGTTTCCACCATTGGGTATTCGAGCTTAAGATGGCTGCTCTGTATGCGCATTTGATTGCGCGTGCGCGCGCACGAGCTTCCCTGAACAGCGCAGTGTGCCGCATTGTATTGTTCTGCGTTGGGGCCTCCAGCACATAGTGCAACAATTGGTTTTCACCATTGAGTTTTCGAGGTTCACATGGCCTCTCTGCATGCGCATTTGATTGTTCGCGCGCGCGCGACCCTGAACAGAACAGCGTGCCACATTGTATTCTGCTGCGTTGAGGCTTCCAGAATATATGGGTGAAACATTTTGTCTTCACCTACGAGTTTTCGAGATCCAGATGGCTACTCTGCATGCGCGTTTAATTGCGCGCGCGAGCGCGCGCGCGCGAGCAACCCTGGATAGTACAGCGTGCCCCATTGCATGCTTCTGCGAAGAGGCCTCCAGCATATGAGTGAAACTGTAGGTTTTCACCATTTAGTGTTCGAGCTTAAGATGGCTACTCTGTATGCGCATGTGATTGTGCGCGCGCAGGGGCAACCCTGAAACGTACAGTGTGCCACATTGCATGTTTCTGAGGCCTCCAGAA